GGGGGGGGTCTGTGCTGACAGGCTTGCCTGGGGACAGCTGCAAGAGGAAGGATTTAATGGGCTTTTTCAGCCAAGCATCAGAGGAGCTGTGGGGGAGATGTGGTATGAGTGGAGCAGGAGGGAGCACCTGCCCTGAGTGGGGCTCAAACCCGCTGCAGGGAAATAACAGCAGTGCAGGAGGACTGGTTTTAACAGTTTATTTAAAATAAGTTTTGTTACAAAACAGAATTTTCTTTTTAATTATTAAAATACATAGAAACATCTAATCTTACAAAAGGCTAAATTTATTTTCCCTTTTTTTTTTTAAATAGAATATACTGTGGGAGAGGAGAGGGCTGCAGGGGGAAAGAGCCATCAGTGCATTCAGTTGGTTATTTGCAGCAGGAGGAAGTATCCCCATGGATGAGTGCTCAGAGGGTGCAGGGGCCAGGGCAGTCTCCTCCCACCTCCCCTGCCAGCCACTCTCCTGACACACAAGCCAACAGGCTTTTGGGCTGGAAGTGTTTGTTTGTTTTCCACTTGTTTTCTATTCCAAGACCATGTAGACAAGGTATAAATATTTCAAACACTTTCATCTTGACCACAGTGTGATCTCTCTTGACAAGACAACTGGTAAATAACTTTACAATAGCTTCATTCGAGACCACTAAACCCACGTGGGTGCCACATAACACAGGCAGCACCGTGACTGCTCTCCCTAGTGCCGGGGCAGCTGGCACAGGGCCCTGGCAGCACCGGCACCGCAGTGAAGGGCAGCTCGGCTCATGCACGGCACCGGGGTGCCTCCATGCAACAACAGGGCTTGACAAACCTACAGGGAAAGCAGCTGCTGGGATTTTTTTTCTGGCTTAAAATTGAGGAAGTGCTGCTCTGAAAGACATCGGGCTGCTACCTGGATGCAATCTCAGGGAATCTGCGGCCAGGCTGGCCCTGGGGGGGGAGCAGAGACAGGTCTGGGGGCTTGCCTGGCTCCAAGCATGCCCTCCAGCTAGACACCTCTACTGTCATAAAAACAAAACTGGAGAGATTGGAGGGAGCACCCAGCAGCTTCCCCCACTGGCTAAAGTATCTGTCCAGCAAACAAGTCAGAGTGTCTAAGGGGAAAGATCCCTGCCCAGCATCACTGTCCCCCATCCTGAGATGGGGATCCAGCTGCTGGGAGACCCCAGCCCCATGCTGCTCTTGGTGACAGTGCCATCACCTGCTGGCTGTGGGTCCAGGTGGGCAAGGGGATGGCACTGAAGCCTTCGTGTCTTCCAGCAGCTGGCTCTGGCTCTTGTAGCACTGTGAGGGGCCAGGTCCTGCAGTGGGTTTGGTGCCAGGGCTGGCACCTGTCACACTGGGACTGGCCTCAGCTTCCCTGCAGGGAGACGCAGGTGGGTCACATGGGGGGGGGGGGCACGACCATCACTGCCCCAGCCCCATCCAGCAGGTGCTGCACTGAGCCCGTGTACCAGCACCCCCACAAGCACCCCCGCCAGCGGCACAGCCCGGCACCCCACCCTGCCCGGGAAGCAGGGCTGAAGCAGAGCCCTCCACCGGCACCCGGCTGCGGGCACTCACCTGGCAGCCACGGCTGCCCCTAATTCAGGCTGAAATCAAAGGGGAAAGAGCGTCAGCCTGAGGGCCCTGCCACTGCCCTGCAGCATCGTTCCCCCTGCACACCCCCAGCCTCGCACAAGGGCGCTTTTGGAGAAGTGCTAACCAGGCTCCTGCTAACTAATTATCCATTGATAATGAGCTGATTACAGTTCCCCCCCATGTGCTTTGTCTGCCAGCATCTGGCTGGGATGAGACCGGCAGTGGGAGCCTCCTCTGACAGAGGGACACTGGAGTGGGTCCACGGTGTCCCACCACCCACCTGAGGTCTGGAGCTTCCTGCGGATGGAGGTGGCACGGCCGGAGAACTGCCCGGGGCTGGGGGACGCGTGGCCTCGGCCAGAGGGTGCCTCACCCTGGGGGGAAACAGGGCATGGCCCCAGGGTCAGCCCGTGCCCAGCCCCAGAGGAACCTGTTTGCCAGGAAAGTGTGTCCCAATATACTTGTGAGGCTGCAGCAAACTAGGGCTTGGAAGAGCCAAAGGGGCAGCATCAGCTGGACACAGCACGCAGAGACAGCCTGCAGCCTGCTGGGGGATGCTCACCAATGGGGGTGGCTCTGGGAGGACACCCAAAAGCAAACAGCCCTGGGGACTGCACATGGGGGCAAAACAAGGGACCCCCTGGGGTAAGAGGAAGGGCACCGACAGCCTCTTTGTTACCTCCAGCTGCTCCTGGCTGGGCCAGGAGGCCAGCTCAGCCTTGCGGGAGACGGGACCCAGCTCCACGGAGCGAACCCTCTCAGCAAACTTCAGGGAGCACAGTGTCTCGCTGGTGTTTTTTTCGGCGGGGGAGACCTGCGGTCAGGCAGGAGCAGGCAGAAAGTCACTCTGCCAGCTGTCTGCACCCCTCAGGGCTCCCTCACCCTGCAAACACAGCAGTGCAGGGCCGTCGAGGTGCTATTATTAACGTGCTGCTCCCAGGATAGCCCCATCCATCCGGGCCCGGGTGACATCCCCTGTCACCAACCGCCCAGGCGTAAGGGAGAGCCAGGAATGGCTGCAGCAGGTGGCAGGGGCTCGGGCACCTCCCAAGGGGCTTGGTGGGGTGCAGGCAGCCGGGGGG